TCCCTTATTGTGGAAAATCTTGCCTGGGTATAGTGTTAAGCCCATATGTATGTGAAAAATGTAGTATGATATTAAGCAGGGAAGGACGTTTTCATCCGGAAATTCCACTTGTCATCTAATTAGTTAGACATTTAGACAATGTACAAATTGTACCATATACAATGTACATGATTAAGATTTTATAATAATTTTATTAGAAAGATTAGAAAAACAGAAAACCCAACAAGAGGTTTACATTTATTTCAATATGTATCAAGTATAAATAGTGAGTGAATTACATACATGTATATAGCATTTAAATTAAAATATATACCAAGAACAATCGGAGTTGTAGCATCACGAAATTTTACATTCGAACTGCAAACTATCCAAAATGGATATACATTGTACACATATCTCTCTTGTATTCACGTTTACTAACGTTTGAGATGTTTTTTTCTTCAAAACTGTGGAGTTCTTTCTTATGATTCTAGGTAGCATAACTTTTTTTATTATTGTACTTAGACTATTATTTCGATAATACATCTAGGTTAGCGCCCGACATCATCCATACAAAATTTGCAATTTTAATAGTCAATGACTGTTGCATTTTTATAAAATAAACTCACTCTGACGTGGGTTAACAGTCTAAAATCTGACATTATTCAGTATCGTACTAATTCACCTCACTTGAAAAATATCGATCCGCTATACGTTCGACCCCCTGTTGTGAAAGTTCAAACCGTATTTTCAGTAGGTCATGATTTTCGACAATTCATCTTTTGTATAGTTTATGATAAAAAGTCGACTTTGATATCAGCTGACATAGAATTTTACCTAGTGACTTACTTTTTGTGTCGCCTCGACGGAGTAGTGGCGACATTTAGGGATCACTTCTCCGTCATCTGTATGTACATCCATCCGTTCGTCTGTCTGTCCGTCCATCTGCCAAAAGAGGTGGGGCAATTTCATCAAGTCTAGTTGTGCATATCGTCAGCATTTTCCGGTTCAATTATTTTTTATTAGAGTTATGACACTTTAATAATTGTTCTTTCTAAAATTTGTCTGAACTACTATTCTTATACCGCAAATGCAATTCCAATAAAACTTTACAGGATTGATCAGTAGCTTAAGTCCTTGCGCGTAATACACGGTTTTTCGGTTGAATGATTTTTGGCCGAGTTATGGCACTGAAACAAAAAAAGGTGTTTTGTGTCTTGCAAGATACACAATAATTATATCTGTCATCTGTTGCGGTTCACATGAGAATATCCGTCTCGAGGGACCCCGTGCATTCGACGGTAACGAGGCTTGCTGAGTTACCGCCCATGGGCGGGGTCCCACGGGACGGGTATACCGATCCGGACCGCAAACATATGTCAGATATTTTTTCTTGCATATTCTGCCATACTATTTCATATTTAAAATGGTAATTGTTCATGGAAATTAAAGTCATTTCATCCATAACTATGTTTTTGGATTTATGGCTATCGTGATCGCTAATCTCTTGTTCGTTCTTTGATGTACATCTATGAAATTTGAACGATGTGCACAGTTTTAAATGTCAAGGTAAACTTTTATATCAGCAGACCTTGAGTTTTATCTAGTGACCTACATTTCTCCCTTTTAAGTACAGATATGAAATTATGACCATGTATATAGTAAAAGTTTTTAAAATTTATTTTTCATTAAGTACGGCATAGTGACAAACACCGCTTAAATTCTTGTAATAAACGCTAGCTTTCACTACTTTTAACCCCCGGGTTTTAAGAAACTGGCGACTAATAAGTGAACATAATTATTGTTGTCATATATGTTTATAACAGAACCGTTAGTTTTATGAACGTACGTATTTCACGGCGTGTTTTCTTTCAACAAATCATAAAACACCTATTGGCAATAATTCGCAAAATAGTTCATCCACCTTACCCAACAAATAATGCAAATCGTTGAAAAATAATCTGCAAAGCAAGAGGGGCATTTATCCATCTAAGAAACATCTGGAATGCACGAGTCATAAGCAGGAACACCAAGCTACGACTTTTCAACTTTAACGTTAAATCAGTCCTCATGTATGGTTCAGAAACCTGGAGATTTACCAAGGCCACCAACCATAAGATCCAGACTTTATCAACCAATGTCTTCGTCGTATCCTGTCCATCCCCTGGCCTGAAACCATGAGTAACAAGAATTTATGGAGAAAGACCAACCAGTGTCCAGTTGAAGAAGAGATTCGGAGAAGAAGGTGGGGTTGGCTAGGACATATCCTACTGAAGTCTAGTAGTAACATCACAAGGCAGGCACTTACATGGACACCCCAGGGAAAGAGAAAACGAGGACGACCGAGAAACACCTGGAGAAGGGATCTGGAATCAGATGTCAAACTGAAAGGACAGACATGAGGACAACTTGAACTAAAGGAAAAGGCGGCGCTGGAGGACTATCGTCGATGGCCAATAGATGCCACCAGGAGGAGCGAAAAGGGGGTGCCAAAAAATTGAAAAATAAGTTTTCCCCCTAAAGAAATCGACACCGTTTTTTGAGCAATAGTAAATATACAGAAAAAAGTGTTTTATCGTCGATCGATGAATTATTAGCCAAAAGAGTTTGTGAACGTAATATTATTATATGACGGCAGTTCTGCAAATCTTAAAACCTGTGACATTTCTTTCGCTGTCGAATCTGACTTCTTGAGAACTATTGTAGTTGGTGGATTAACCCTATCCCAAATAAATATGCTGGATCTGCCCTGTTAGAATTCGCAAAGTTAATCAGGAAGTAATTTTTCCACGAATGCGATTTATACGATTAGATTAGATTAGAAAAGTGTCGACTCCAATGAGAACTTCAAACTTTAAACGTTTTAGTGGAAACGAATAAACAAACACGTATATATACATACATAGCTTGATGATAAATGTTATCACGCCATTACCTAAGTCTCTGAATATTAAAGTTAAAATTTTGTAAGTGATTTATACACCAAACTATATAGGATTTAATCTGATACCGATTTGATTTACACAAATGTCCCTATTGAACAGGTAATGTTATTCGAAAGATAGTGTTAAAGTTGTCAATTTGGTAAGTAGATTTTTTTTAATATTGTCACAATAATTCCGAGATGTTGTGTTAATTTACGAACAATACAGTTTACAATATAATAGAATATAATTATGCAGAAAGATCTGATGTTTTGATCGCTGACGATTTTGTTTTCAAATATATGAAACCAAAAGTACATCTTTCTACTCCTTGTTTTCCTTTCGACGGACAATTAGTGCAATGAATAATATGCAAGTAAGATAGTTACAAAAGGAAACTTAGATGGCGTAAAATCGTTTTGAATTGATGAATTCTATGTCTAGAACTAGCAAATACCCAGCTTGATTTAGAAGAACAGAAGAAATATACATTTTTAGTTGTGACATGTTTGATAATTTACTTATGAGCAAACACCCTTCTTCATATGCGCAAATAACATAATTTGCTGGATAAAAAACAGAAACTAGTATATACCAAAACAGTGAAGTTGATAATCATTAACTGTTGACCATGTTGACCATGTTGACCATATGACCACACCAGATAGCTACAATCTAAATTATACGGATGCCGGACAATTTTAGTTGGTACAACTTTACCTTGCAGGAGATTTTGTATTATGTGACAATTTAAAAAAGATCTTGTATCAAGTTTAAATCGTAAAAGTCACGATTTTCGACAATTCATCTTTATATATATATATAATAGCCAAAATAGCAAAGGCAGCTAAAAGGTCAAAATGTAGCAGACAGTGTGTTGCAGCTAAAGACTTCGGAACCACTTACAGTGGATGTACTTTCTTATTCCGTGATAAGCCAAACGATATTCACCCAACCACAAACTGGGTAGCTGGTTCTTAATGGATTGTGCTTTTACCATTCTGCTTTAACAAAACTCCTCGTTAATTCAGGAATTTAGCTGTATCTAAGCTTTGTTAATCTACCAGTGACGACCATGTCTTAGACACATTTAAGACAAGTATACGCCAATTCAAGAGATCCTTACTCCATTGGTTAAAGAGAGATATCTTAATTAATGTTATGCATATTGATAATATAACCTTCTGATCTTACACATAAACTAAAAGTTTCCCACTTAAATTAGTTATTGCCATCATTCCGTTTTCGTAGGACAAGGGAGCAAGTGTATGCTTGTTTCTGTTTATTTTTTTTAATGAAACGGGCGACTAACTTGTGAAACACAAGCGTTGTTGTCATATATGTTTTAATAAGGGACGGACAAATTTCACTTTGTGTTTACCTTTCTCCTATGTTTTAAGCAAAAATCATTACACCTTTTCCCAAAACCAAAAGACAATAATTCGCAAAATATTTTCGCCTATACTAAATCAAATTTAGACTCAACAAATAGTGAAACTCGTAGAAAAATATAAGGCTAAAAATCGAAAGAAAAAAAAATAGATCAAAGGAGTAGTTTGTGATCGATCGTTACCAAATACCAACGAGAGTTTGTAATCGTAATTTATATCAGATCGGTACAAAATCGTAATGTATTTCTTTAAAAAGAAACCTATGACATTTATACTTGCATTGTGAATACAATATTCAAAGTAGTTGTTCGATTCAAACTATCCCCAATTTAAGTGCTGGTCTCTCTCTCCCTCTCTCTCTCCCTCTCTCTCTCTCCCTAGAGGGAGAGTGAGAGAGAGAGAGAGAGAGAGAGAGAGAGAGTGTGTGTATTCGTCTCAACTTTAACGTTTAAAAATTTTAAAAGTTTTAAATGGAGCCGACACTTATATAATCAAGACATATATGCATACATTGATTGATTAAAGATGTTAACACGCCATTACCTATTCTCTGAACAATTAAGTTAAAAAAATCAAACTGTTTTTCAGGTTACATCTGGTACCGATGTGTTTCACACGAATGTTCCTATTGAACATGTTATTCCAAAAGATAGTGTTATAGTTGTCGCTTTGTTAAGCAAAAGTTTTAATCACAATAATTTTGAGTTCTTATTATTAAATTACGATCAATACAATGGAATAAGATATATGCAGATAGATATTCTGGTGATTTTCTTTTCAAATGAAACCAAAAGTTGACTTTTCTTTCTCAGCGAAAAATTAGTGCAATGAATAAAATGAGCATTTTAGTAAAATGTGAATCTTTGATGACCTTCAAACGTTTCGAATTGATCAATTATTTGTCTGGAATAAGCAAAAACACCTAGGGGGACAGAAGACATTTTTATCAACATTTCTAATTGTGACATGTTTGACAATTTTCTAATGAGCAAACATCCAACCCCGCCCCTTCTTCATATGCGCAAATTGCATTCTTTTCTTAGTTAATAAAAGTATATATCTAAACAGTTAAGTAGATTTGCATTAGCCGTTTGCCATATAGTCACACTACATTGCTAAAATCTATTTTAAGAGGGATACCTGACAGTTTTAGTGGGTGCAACTTTACCTGGTAGGAGTTCTGGTATTATTTAACAATTTTAAAGAATATAAACTTGCGACAAGTTTAAATCGTACCTCGAATAGTACATAATCTTGCACAATACATGTCTTTTGTATATTTTAGCCACAATGGCAATGGCAGCTGAAAAGTCAACTTGTAACAGACTACTTGTAGCAGCTATAGACTTCGGAACCACTTACAGTGGGTATGCTTTCTCGTTTAGTAACAAGCCAAACGATATACACACAAACCCAAACTGGGTAGCTGGTTCTCAGCAACTAATATCACTGAAATGTCCCTCTACTGTTCTACTTAAACCCGACAAGACGTTTCATTCGTTTGGATTTGAGGCTGAAAATAAGTATATGGATTTGGCGGATGATTCCAAACACCACAGCTGGTACCTTTTTCGGCGTTTCAAAATGACACTCTATGAAACAACAGTAAGTAAGGCCTAATATAAAAAAAGTTTGTTTCCTACCCAACCACTAAAATCACTGCTACACAAAACAAATTACATTGTATTGCCAATCAAATCTTCTTAATAAACACAGAAGCAGAGTATGTCAATAAGAATCATATCGTCAAATCTGCCTGATGATTTGCATTGTGAATATTAAAACTGGGTAAAATGTTAGTACTTATCTTTAAAAATAATCAAGGCCTTCTCAACTTTTTATTAAAGTCCATATAATTCAGATATAGAATACAATTATGGTCAATAAATAATATTTCTATATATTCATTTTTTTATTTTACCTACCTACCTACCTGTCTGCACTGCAATGCAATGCCCTGCCCTGCCCTCCCTGCCCTGCACTGCCCTACCCTCTACCCTCTACCCTACCCTACCCTACCCTACCCTACCCTCTACCCTACCCTACCCTACCCTACCCTACCCTACCCTCTACCCTAACCTACCCTACCCGACATGGCTTGCAGGAGGGGAAACAAAAAAGATATTTTAAGGCTGGCCTTATGAAATCAATTTGGTGTTAATTATAAATATGTTGCACTGCTTTTATTTTCACATAAATCAAAAACTGTAATCATTTTTCACAACATTAAAACAACAAATGATTTACAGCTTTTTCAAATACATATGATGTTTTGTCATGTTTATGTTCTATCTTTTTAGAATTTGAAACTTGACACTCCTATAGAAGACATATCGGGAAAAAATATGCCAGCCATAGCTATATTTGCTCATTCAATTTTATTTCTAAAGAATCATCTTTGGAAAACATTGCAGTCAAGAGTATTTAAAATCCTTGAAACTGACATTCAGTACGTGATTACAGTTCCGGCCATTTGGGATCCAAAGGCAAAGCAATTCATGAGAAGGGCAGCTTATAAGGTTAACCAATCATTTAATATATCTAGATTTGATTTTGGCATTATTTTCAATGCGACCAATACAACGTAAATGATATATTTGTTTTAAGAATAAGATAATATACATTATTATTAATAATGGAGATTTTTGAATGCTATCGGGATAATGAAAAAAAAAGTTTTAAATAACTTTACAATCTTAATAGTTTTGTTTGTTATCTGATTCTCATTCTGTTGAATATACCAGAACTTTGATAAATGAATTTTTATCAATAGGCCGGAATTCCAAACGAACAAATATCATTTGCCCTTGAACCTGAAGCAGCGTCACTTTGGTGTCAGACTGAAACAGATGACAAGCTCAGTAGTCTCTCAGAGCCATTAACCAAATATATGGTCGTAGACTTAGGAGGTAAACCTTAATTGAGTACATTTGTTAATAATTCTAAGATTAATTACTATTAATTGTAAAACTGCACATTTCAATAACAGGTATTGTCTTGTTTTTACAAGACATAAAAAATCAGACTATTGCAATCGGACTTATCCGTAGATAATTGAAAATGTGACGCACATTTATCATGCGCAATTATTTCATATCAATATTGTTTTTTTTTATTTTTCACGTTACCAGGCAATTTGATTAGCATTAATAATTATTTAATTGGCGTTATAAACGCCTTTTGTTTCGGAAATATATATCAAGTTGGGGCTAATGTAATAAACCGTGCATATTATACTATAATGCAAGAAATATTTCTATTTCCATTCTAACATGCTAATAAAATACAGAATTGATAGATTATTTGGAATTATTACCTGATACCTTATATAAATGTAATTTGTTATTATTTACTGTTTTCTGAAATTCTAAAAACGTCAACGTTCGCGAACTGTTGACCGGTCAATAGTTTCGACTGTTTCCCTCTCGTGCTCTGACGTCATTGACGTCATAGAGGATTCCCACTTGAAGCGTCCATCGATCTTGATCATGAACCAGACGTGACGTGACATAGTTAAAATATTAATTTTAATTATTAACATATGTGCAAAACAATTTGTTGTTCCTTTTTTCTTCTGCAAATACTGTTAAAACAGTAGTTGATCAGGTAATAAAACAGTTATTTCATGCGTGATTTGGGAACAGTCAAACAGTTGTCCCTCGGTGTCGGGGATAGTGTTTTGAACTGTTGCCCTCGGCCTACGGCCTTGGGCAACAGTTCAAAACACTACCCCCTCCACCTCGGGCCAACAGTTTGACTGTTCCTAAATCACATATGAAATAACTGTATACTACACTGAGCATAAAAATTATTTTTCTGACGTCATTTGGTTTATTGACATCATATCTGACGTCATATGACGTGAACTCGTTAGTTCTTTATGCTCTGCATTTATCGTTCGTGTAATAATGAACTTAACTGCCCTATCTGTTTGATAGTGTGAAGCATGTTTTGTTTCGCATTTTATATAACCCTTTTTACGGTGTTCCGTTTGGACACGTTTGGACAATCGTGACATTTTATTTATTCTGTACCCGCGATGCACGATGGTACGATGGTGAAAACGCGATGGCACGATGGTACGATGGTGAAAACACGATGGTACGATGGTGAAATCACGATGGTACGATGGTGAAATCGCGATGGCGCGATAGTACGATGGTGAAAACGCGATGTTACATCGCGTTTTCACCATCGTACCATCGTGATTTCACCATCGTACCATCGTGTTTTCACCATCGTACCATCGCGCTATCGTGTTTTCACCATCGTGCCATCGCGCTTTCACCATCGTGCCATCGCGATTTCACCATCGTACCATCGCGATTTCACCATCGTACCATCGCGTTTTCACCATCGTACCATCGTGTTTTCACCATCGTGCCATCGCGTTTTCTGTATTCTGTACCCGCGATGCACGATGGTACGATGGTGAAAACGCGATGGCACGATGGTACGATGGTGAAAACACGATGGTACGATGGTGAAATCACGATGGTACGATGGTGAAAGTGCGATGGTACGATGGTGAAAACACGATGGCACGATGGTGAAAACACGATGGCGCGATAGTGCGATGGTACGATGGTGAAAACGCGATGGTACGATGGTGAAATCACGATGGTACGATGGTGAAAACGCGATGTAACATCGCGTTTTCACCATCGTACTATCGCGCCATCGCGATTTCACCATCGTACCATCGTGATTTCACCATCGTACCATCGTGTTTTCACCATCGTACCATCGTGCCATCGCGTTTTCACCATCGTACCATCGTGCATCGCGGGTACAGAATAAATAAAATGTCACGATTGTCCAAACGTGTCCAAACGGAACACCGTACCTTTTAGTTTTATTTCGCATAATAATGCATCTTTGCTTGCTTTATTACAACTTTCGATCCACCTTTAAACGCCTTTATTTCCTTTATAACGCCTTCTGTTTCGCATTATAACGTTTTTATTACCGTTTTCGCGTGACATCGCCTTTATTTGCATTATCGCGTTACTATACCTTTTTACGCGTTATTTTTTTATTCGCTTTACTATGCATTTTGGTTCGCATAATTATGCCTTTTTTGTCACATTATAAGGTCTTTATTCGCGATATTATGCCTTTTCAATATTTGTTATCTTACTTAACTTGATACTATTAGACTTTTGTATGAACAAAAACGTTCACCACTTTTAAATCTCATATCAGTATATATCAATGTGTTGTTTAGTAAATCGTATGATAGTGCTATTGTGACTACAATGTATTTATTTTACTTATGACACATATTTATAGTATATTTCTTGTATTCCACTCCTTAATTTTCCATTATATTGGTATGGTATGCAGGAGGAACAGCTGATATAACAGTACATCAGAAAATGGACGATGGAAGTTTGAAGGAGATACAGAAAGCAAGTGGAGGAGCATGGGGCGGGAATGAAGTTGATAAGAGCTACTTACAATTGCTTGAAAATATAGTGCAGGCAGCGACAATGAACAAATTTCAGCGAGAAGAAATGAATGACTATTTTGACCTTCTTCGAGAGTTTGAGACAAAGAAAAGATCGATAACGAGAAACAATGAAGGGAAAATAACATTCAAACTCCCTCTATCACTGTGCAAACTCGCTGAATTAGATGGGATCAAAATTGCTACAAAAATAGAAAGGTCACACGATAAGAAAAAATACAGCTGGATTGGAGATAAATTGAGAATTGAGAAGATTGCCGCAAAAGCCTTATTTGCTCCTCCGATAGAAAAGCTTTTGAACCATGTTAAAAATATGTTTGAGCAACCAGAAATACAAGATGTTGATGCTATACTTCTTGTTGGCGGGTTTAGCGAGTGTGATCTCGTGACAGAAGCATTTGAACAAAGCTTCCCTGACAAAAGACTCCTGATTCCAAAGGAAGCAGGTCTAGCTGTACTTAAAGGAGCCGTTCGCTTCGGTCATCATTTGGGTGCATTTAAAACGAGAATTGCAAGGTTCACTATTGGAAGACAAATATGCCCCGTGTTTGAAAAACATCACGACCCAGCTAGAATGATTATATTTGATGGAGTGAAGCATTGTAAACAAATCTTTCACAAATATATTGAAATTGGAGAGGAAATTCCCGTACAAATGATGCATGAAGAGAAAAGTATGGCAGTTCATGCAAATCAAGAAAATATAGGGATTAAATTTTTTAGTTCTACAAATCGTCATGTTACTTATACAACAGAGCCGGGATGTCAAAAATTGGGAAAATTTAAAGTTGATTTGCCGAAATCAAAAAGCATATCTGACAAAGAATTTACCCTTTATTTATATTTTGGGGAAACTGAAATACACGTTCGTGTGAAGATGAGTAAAACAAATGAAGAGTTTGAAAAATGGATTGACTGCTTCTCGAAATAATTTTGATTATTTCCTGTCGTAAAGGAAGTACATGTAAAAAACAAAGTAAATGTCGTTTGTTTAATTGATACATAGTAATATTGATTATCACATTATTTGGTGTTGAAATGGAAAAGTCAAAATTGAAAATGTTGTGGGCTTGGTTTAATTGAGCCTGTTCATGTACTATACTGGAAAGTGCAAGTTACCATCCACGTACCATAGCACAGGCTTAAGCAGAATGGAATATTAAAGATGAACTGGATGAAATCTTGTTTGGATCTAGAAGCAACACATTAGACATTTTATATCAAAGCTCTTTATATAGATATGATTCGAAATATATATTGATAAAGTGACCGACTTTTGTGTTACTGTTAAAGAAATATGACTTATCAATTAAACAAAATCATTTAGTATAATTATAATTTATCCTATATTTTATTTAAGATGAAACACATTATCAGAGAAATAAAGTTCATAAATGTAAGAGATAATTATTATTGTCAATATAACCATACTGCCATACTGTCAGTCCCCATAATTTAAAATGGTAGCGCGTTGATAAGTTTTTGTTTGTTAAACATCGCTGACTTTAAGTCATGAAGATATACCATTTAGCTAAGACAGTTTATATTTCATAATTCTTCAGGTGATGCTAAATCATTTCATGTGAGGAGGTAAATATTTAACGGCTAGTTACGGACTGTAAATGGTTTCCCTCTGGTTGCTGTTGTGCATGAAAATATGCCCAAAATCGCATTGCTCACGTACTTAAGTTTATCATAAATACAAATGTTGTTCAAACGATTTGAACAAACATACATGTATTTCCCTTAATTGCATGATATGACACATGTGACCATTATTATGATATCACAATATTTAACAATTGTAAACACAAAATATGTTCGTGGAAATATGTTTATGAAGGAAAATATATGTACAGACAGCAGAGAAGATAGATTAAATAAAAATCCATTGTCTTAATCACTGGTTAAAGTAGTTATCGAACTCATAAACTTAACCTGCGTGCAATGATTCCAAATATCATTATGAAGGTAAGATGGATGAAATTACTAGCTAACTCAAAGTCGCAAATGATGAAATAACAGAAGCGAACCCTTTGTAATTCATGTCAAGGTCGACAAATAAATTGTACCGTTTAATTTTTTTCAATCCTAGAGTCATGGTTAAATGTTAGAAATAAAATGAAATTTCAAGTAAGGGTAAATACAAGTCTTATTTGGTTTCATCTGTTCATCCATTATTACGGACTTCTTTAACCGAGAAAACAAGGACAAAATTGTCAATTAAACGTGTTTTTCTTTGCATAATCTACTGCCTCTCTAAAGCATTAACCGATATATATGGAAAAGATATGCATTCGGTAAGGTAACCATTGATAGGTAATTCGGTAACTACTGACTTGTTTACTTACCATTAGCATACCATGGGTACCAATTTCTACGTACAAAATGTGCCATAGGTACATTAATCTGATCTGACTCTCACTGTTGTATGAAACTTAATTGATATTGCCAGGATTAAAAATATTACACAGTAACAAAATGTAAAAAGAATGCTGATGTTGATTTCGGATAAATATATTAATAGCAGCACAATTTACAATACAAATGGACCAGATAAACATAATAGTTATGGTCAAGATCAGTAAGCCGGGTGACATTGGTACCATTTCTTCACCTTCATGTTTACAACCCTAGCGTAATTTGTACAAACAAAGTGTTATTGAAATTAAAAGAAAAATACAAGTTCTTTATTGCGTGAAAATAAGACTTGCAAGCTTTTTTATTCTAGTGGCCGTTGTATATACATAAGGGACGTCACTCTGTCTGAGTTACTGTACAGTACAGAGACAGGAATTTTAACGAAAGAAATATCAAAGTAATTGAAAATTGTGCTACTATTTGTTCTACCAAGTGTAGTACAGACATTAATACACGTCAGAGACGGGTCGGAAAGGGATAATCTATCCTGAATGAATATTGCCTTCGATTCCATTATTCAATTTGTGGGCCGATTATCACCCTCCAGACATATTTTGCCGTGTATTAACTTCTAAATACCAAAACTTGCTTAAGTATATGAATTCAGTTTAATTTCAAACTAAACCTATCATAGATAATTTTACATTTTAAATAAATTTGTTACAACATTGTTGAACGTCTTCACCCTTATATATTAAATGTTATATCAAGAATGAAAATGACTGGTATGCTTTTAAAATAATAGCATATTCAAAAGTCTAACATAAGTATATAAGCAAAAACTCAACATTCAGTTGTAGACCTAATATACATAATAGGAGAAAACTGAAACACTTTAATATTATTTAAACATTTTTGACCACCACCTAACATATAACTTCTAACAAACAGCTTCCTTTGCTTGCTACAATAGCAAATAGCCTGGGGATGTTTGAGCCTGTCATGTTCATCAAGTAAAATTTTCTTCTTGATCCACTGACGATTCCAATAAGCTCTATTTTATTCAAATCCCAGTTGCATATTAGCAACTCTGAGTCATTCACGAAACAGAGACCTGCCGGCTAAATTATATCTTCATCTACAAAACCGTTCTCGACTGATGTTTTAACTTTAAAACCTCACTACTATTTCTACAAGATACAAATACAATCTTGTTAAAGGGACTAGCTGCCAAATACCATGCATGGTCTAGCATCAAACTGGTCAGGCATTCTGTTTGTTTTGTATATCAATTACTCCCTTCACTTCAACCTTACCACTTCCATCTTAAATGGATACGAAATGACTAAATAATCACCGTAACTTTCCAAACCCATACATGTACCGTTTACTGTTAAAGTTCGTTTTCTCGCATGAGTGATATCCGTACATAATAACGTAAATAACTCAATCTTCTTTTCATGTGGAAGAGAAACAGCTATTTCCTGATCGTTTGAAATAGTAATGGATTGGAATAAAAGTCGTCTGATATAAAATGTCGGCTGCTGAGATCTAAAATTTTTAGCGCGCCATTTTTGTTGTCACACAACACGAGATTTCCGGATGAAAGAAGATTTTATTTAGTTATATTACAATTAAGTCTTTCAAATGATGTCTACATTAATTTCATCGTAAAAAATCAGTGCCATATCATACAATTGCTTTTCTTTGACACCTTTAGGACGATTTCTTCTGGCGAATTTACAGCGCCAAAATCTACGGCATCTGAAGTATCTGCTATAGTCTGAAAAGAATGGGACGCGGTTGCAGAAAATTTCCTGTGGAATCTTACGCATGTTTGACAAAGCTACGTATTCACTACATGGGTTACGTGATTTTTTTCTCCTTATGAGTTTTTTAAACTTCTAATAAGGACAGTCATGCAAAGGTCGAATTAGTTTTTACACATAAAAACGCCATAATAAGGTCATATAGTGACTGTTCAGCTTTACTGGTGCAGAAAAAAATACTGGTACACCTGGGAACTTCAGTAGAACCACCGTCGCTCCGTAGCTTTCTCATATGAACTTATCCAAAGTCCCTGACGGCACTCTAACCCACAGCGGCGAGGGGCAAGTAGATTGACACTTGACTGGTTATAAATTTGGAAAAGTACGCAAAGCTTATATACTTAAGTATTGCGACATTTAGCGGCAATGGTGCGACATTAAGCGAGTTTGGTGCGGCATTTAGCGGTAATTAGCGGCGTTGCGACATATATAACGGCGCCACAATGCTCGCCATTGATAGTTACACTCTCGGGCGTTTAAGCTGGAGTGTTAAATACATTGTATTAGTTTTTTTTCTTGAGACGATATGTAAAATCTCTTTCAGCATGGCATTAGCCTATAGCAATATATCATTCTTATTCAAAGTTACAAAGTATTAATGAACTTATACGAAATTATTGATAGACAAAGGGAGATAACTCAATACTTACTCTTATATAGAGTATAACCATGTGTAACCAGCCTTCGTCAATATATTTATTGTTTTACTTCTTTTTCTTCCATCAATAATAACTAATTCTTTTGTAGAAGATATCGTTAAAGTTCTATTGCTCTTAATAACAGGTTAAGACGTATTTACTTACTTTTATGATTGACAGTACATCAAACGACGACGACAATAACAACAACAACACTGGTAGTAGCAGCATTAGCGTCAACAACAACAAACAATAACAACAAAAAAACAGCAATAACAACAACAGCAGCAGCAACAACAACAGCAAAAATACAGCAACATTAACAACAAACAAAACAACGAGTTAATGATAGAACGAGTTCATGTATACTTATTGTATCATCAGATAATATTTCAAGGATTGTTAAAGGCCTACTATATCCCATAAATGGTTTTATCTTTATATCTCAAAAGCTTTTTTGTTTGGTTGCCCTGTTATATATACATGTATATTATTATATTTATGTATAAACGCGGTTTAAAAAGTCGCTTTTCCGTTACTCGATCGGCAATATCCGCCACCCTTTACACCGATGACATAGGAATATCCTACATTAAATCCTATTTACTTTTAATCGACTGTTCAAAATTCAAAGAAGGGCAAATTCCTTATTTTTCTGACGATCAAAGTTAAACACTGCTAGCAACACGTTTTGGAGACAACGAATTTAACTACTGCAGAGAGGTGTTGCTCTTGACACGTTAAATTAATAGTGAAGTCTTATTTTTGGGATAAATTATTGATACTTTATTGTAGATACATGTAGTTTATTGGCTTTGCCAGACTTGCATGGTATTGTACCTTTAAGATATCACAAAAAAGTATGTTGATCACTTACTTATATTTAGCTGTCATAGACTTTACAAGAACGGGTCACATTCGGCGCATGCGCATCTTTAGATCCTAGCTTAGTAAAATCTATTCCAATCAAATACAAGTTCGAGCTCACGATACTTCTAAAATAACAATACCTCTATGGCACAAAAAAATATTTAAATTACACAATAATAATTATTTGTGTAATTTTGTTGAAATTTGTTTTTCTTTATATCTGTCTTCAGGAAAACTGGGGACTTGGCATGAAATACTTACAACTAAACAAAGTGAGAAAGTAGATACTAGTACAATGATTCAACAATTAAAGGGTTCTGGTCTTGAAATAGTTATGACATAAGACATATAGTTCAGGCTTCATCGACAGAATAAAAGAATAGACTATGTGTGGGAAAAACAGGAATGGGCGGTGTAACACCGCACTTTGGGGTCAAACGCACTTTGGGGTCCAACCCCAACGTGCGTTACGTACTTTGGGGTCCGACCCCAGAGCGCGTTACGCACTTAAAGGGTCCAATTTCGACCCCAAAGTGCGTTAAACAGGTAAATATGCATGTTTTAACATCAGGCAAACGACCGCACTTTGGGGTCAGAGAAAATTAATGTTCATTATGTTTAAAATAATATATTGTAGTCAAAGCCAATGGTAAACAAAATTCAAGGTATGAAATA